AACCAATGGAACAAACTCACAGGTGGCCAGTGCTGAAGACGTTTTTCCGTTATAATGTTATATTGACTTTTTGTTAATTTTAGGAAGTCAAGGAAAAAATAGAAGTGGAAAGCTGCAGGTGCATTTTTCTAGTCAATCACATATTTCAGCATTGGAAGATACTTGAATTTCAAAGCACGAAAAAATAATGTTGATATGATGCTAGATAAAAGTTTACAACAGAGAGAGCAAGAAAAAATTCAAGTTTCGATATTCAACCAAAATGCAGTTCAAATTTTAATTAATCAAGTGAGTAGTCTATTGAATATCTACACTGAAAAAAAAATAGTATTTCCAGACTGCATATAAGTTGTTTCTTTTGCTAACTCTGCGCACTTATTCTTGTGAAACTCCTCCAGTTCTGTATAGTTGCAAATAGAGGAGTGGAAGTTTTATACTACAAGTTTTGTCTAATATCAGACAAGTGCTTCTCCCATATTTCGCCGACGTTCTCTTTCATCTTGCACTGAGTTTTATAGTGCGACACTAGCGTGAAAGAAGGCTTTTCACATTCAGACCGCTTGAGGTCTACGCTGACAAGCTTTTTTTGACGTCTTCCTTTTATTTTCTAGTATTTAGCCAGGCAAGATATAGGTTTTCGTGGACACATTGAATCAGAAGGTAATTTTCATCAATTAATTAAACTGATATCAAAACACAATCCAATAATTAAAGAATGGTTATCTGACAGAAAAAATCGCCCATATCAAATGAGACAAAATAATTTAGAGAGGAAGTTTTTGTAATCTTCAATTGTCGTTGTACTTTTAGGTTACTTACATGGCAAAGAGAAGTCAAAATGAATTTATTTCACTTATTGATGATAGTGTGTTAAATATTGTTTTAAATGAAGCAAAACAAGCTCCTTACTTTTCCATCATAGCAGATTCTACTCCTGATTCTAGTCGTCAAGATTAGGTATGCACCAAACCGTTCGCAACCGAACGGTTCGCTACTGAACATGTTCGCTGCCGATCAGCGAGCCCTAGCTTGGGATGGTTGCATGCCTGATCTGGACTAAAGGCAAATTGAATGAAATTGAAGCTTTTGAAGGAAGTAACCAGTGAGAAAATAGATTAAGTAAAGCACAATGTGAGGGAATGTGTCTTCTACCGAATCGCTATCGAACGCGTTCGGACGAAGATTGTAAATAGGATAGTTTATATTTTTCTCGTCAGAGACATCGACGAGCGCTCTGCTGACAAACTATTAGGACAAAGTACCATAAACCTTACAAAGATACATTCAAATTAGAGCTGCAACTGTCTGTCTACTTTTTTCTGCACAGTGAAAAAAACCATTTTTGCATGAAAACAAAGTAAATCAATCTGCTATACAGAGGCCACATTAGTAAGTAATTAGAGAGTAAATCAGATATAATGGAAACTAAAGGTACTTTCAACTTCCTGGAATAAAGTAAACATAAATTTGCTGCTTTGATTCAACTTTTCTTTACATGACTACCTACGGCTACGGCGTAATCAAAGCTGCTCCTCCGTTTGGTGTAATCTTCACCATTTTTTCTGTTTTATAAAGATTCTTTCATGTGTTTCTTCGTTCTCATGTTCTTAGCTTTGACAAACTATTTTTTTAAATCTTTGGTAGCGATTCAGTTGAAGACACATTCGCTTACATTGTACTTTAGTCTATTTTCTCACTAGTCACTTCCTTCAAAAGCTTCAATTTCATTCAATTTGCCTTTAGTCCAGATCAGGCATGCAACCATCCCAAGCTAGGGCTCGCTGATCGGCAGCGAACCGTTCGGTGAGCGAACATGTTCGGTAACAAACCGTTCGGTGCCGATCAGCGATTCCAAGTTTGGGATTGTTGCATGCCCAGTCAAGATATGTTGTCAGTTTTCATTCGTTTCGTAGATGATGAATTGAAACCAGTTGAGAGATTTGTATCAATTAAAGAAACACTAGCTAAAACTGGTCAGCTTTGTCCGGCTTGTTTTTTCTTTCACTGATTACATTAGAATTGTTCCTTTTTATTTCTAGGCGGTGCACTTTCCAGTCACATTCTTAGTGTTCTAGAAGAAAATGGACTTGATAATTCAAAATTAATTAGTCAAAATTATGATTACGCGAAAAATATGTCAGGTGAAATGAAAGGAGCACAAAATCAAATATCTATGAGGCTGAAAAGAAACATTGTTTATATACCGTGTGCTGTTCATAGAAACAATACCGTTGTGAAGCATGCAAGTGAAGAGAATACTGATATTGTTACCCTATTAGGAAGAATACAATCTATTTATAATTTTTTCATGTGCAGTAGTAAATGGTAAGATAATTTTTGGATGCTTTCCTGTTAAATGTGCCTGTATTTTCTTTCGTTTTGTAGATTGAAAGTTTTAAATTAACATTATTCTTCAAATAGTTTCACAAAACAGCTCAAATCAACCTCAACAACAAGATGGAATGCAAAATACGAAAGTGTGAGAGTCGTGTTAGAATCATTTAATGAAATTGTTGAAGCTCTAAACGAAATAGGTGAAGCAAAAGATGATTTTGATAATGACTCAAGAAAAGAAGCAAAATCAATTGCAAATAACATTCAGACTGATAGTTTCATTGTTTACTTAATATTTATGAAAAATCTCTTAGCAGCAACGAATGCACTTAATTCAGAATTGCAAAAAGATGATTTAAATATTATAACTGCAATTGAAATTCTGGCTAAGACTGTGGATATGTTGACAAAAGACAGAAACAATGATGAATGTTTAAAAAATCTTATTGTTCTTAGTGAAAAAATGGCAGAAAAATATTCAGTCGATTTTAATGAAGAATTTAAACTTAAACACTGTGTTCGTCGGTCGCCAAAGATAATTGATGATAATCCGCAGACTACTCATGTCTTTACACAGTGAGTGCACGGAATAAATACTGTCGTGATGAAGCAGGTTTCAACTACACAGTCTATTCTGGAAAATGAGTTTCGGCCTGTGTTTATAGACTTCTATTAGTGTGTTTTCTTCTCTTTCGCTCTTTTTAGGACTGAATATTATTCGAAGCAATTTAGAGCGGTGTACGATCTTCCAATTAATGAATATAGTGATGTTATTGCAAATATGACTGAAAGTGTTAAATCATCAGCTAAATTATCTCCACAGCTTATTCACAATGTTACTATTGATGATCGTAAACAAATATATGATGCATCTCTTATTGATGATCCGACTCTTCTATTCTCAGCAATTGCTTTATATTCTACTGACATAGAACAATGTCAATCTCTCTCTGAAGCTGCAGCTTCCATCAAACAAAAGCAGTCACTTCCACGTCTCTTTCAAGCCTGTCGTTTTCTTCTCAGCTTCCCGGTTACTGTTGCTTCCAACGAACGTGGCTTTTCTGAACTTAAACTTGTGAAAAATAGATTAAGATCAACAATAGGAGATTGACGTCTCTAAGACCTTTTACTGGCTTCCATTGGATGTGATTTGACAGATAAAATAAATGGTGAACAGTTAATATCAAAATGGCTAAAAGCCACTCCAGGACGTAGCATATGAACAGCTCCTTTTTTGTTATTTTTTTTAAATTTCTTCTTTGAACAATTAGTGCTGCGGAACAAAGAGGAAAAGAAGAACAGTAAAGACGAATAAAATTTTAATTGAAGAAAGGGAAAGGAGCCCAAAGAAAGTTGCTGCGTTTGAAATAAAGGCAACAAAATATGTTAGTTGCGAAAACTTTTTGACTACTTTCTCCGTTTTTTGACTATGTCCTCCCTCCTGCTCTAACCTCTTCGGGCCGCCACTGACCGCTCGCCACTATCTATTTACAAGAATACTATACCTATGCTTCGAAAAACGTGTTTTCTTTGTTGACTTCAGACATAGATTAATGTAAGTTCGCAAAGTGAATATGAAGCGACAATAGAGAAACACTCGAATAGTATTACCTTGAAGCCAATCCAAGTACTTGCAATATTACTTGATAAGCACTTGAACAAGTGCTTGTCAAATGAAAAATCAAGTACTTGCATGCTGAACAAGTACTTACAAGTAAATTTGACCTCGGGCTAGTCTTAAGCTGACAAAAACACATGTGACTAGAGGCTAACAGAGCCGGATTTGATATTTCACTGTTCAAATTAACAGTCAGCGTCCCCTAGAGAATGTACTTGATGCAAGTATTTGATTACTTGGTAAGTATTTAGGGAGTAGAGTAAACATTTCTGATTAATATGAGATATTTCTTAGCTCTGAATGATGTTCTGATCAAGAGTTATGGGAGTTTTGCTGGAAGCCCTAAAGCATGCATCAGATACTGGCGCTTCCATATCTGGAAAGCGACTTTCACCTTAACACCGTTTTATAGCTGCAGGATTTCTCAGTAATGAAACATCGCAGAGAGGTCGGGAAGGTCTTAAACTGAAGCCAACACACGTGGCTAGGGCTAATAGAGCCCGATTTTTGATATTCGATCTAGGTCTGTGGTTAGAAAAATATCTTTATGCAAGTTAGTGAGACCTTTTTCGCATTTTGGACCTTTGACCCTTGAGAACGTACTTGGACCAAGTACTTCGTCTGCGTAATGAAGCCAGTACCTACCCTTTTTCAAGAAGCAAAGGCGCCTATGATGTTTTGACCACAAAACGGGATATATGTAGGTTTGTAGAGGAAGATTTCCGCTATCTAGTGGTATATATATTATCAAATTCTGTTGCGTACCGTGAGAGAAAATTAAAGGTAACCCCTCTTTTTTTAGACTCTTTTAGAATTTTTTTTATTTTTGAGTTAAATGTTCTGCATTATAGAGTAAAGTGTCCTCTACAAAATAAGACCGCTTCCAGCTTTCCAAGACCTTCCGTTGAAGAGATACAAATTTTTTAAAGTTTGTTACTTTAC